GCTTCCTGTCAGCTTCCTATCTGCTTCCTGTCAGCTTCCTGTCTGCTTCCCATCTGCTTCCTATCAGCTCCATGCCTGCTTCCTGTCTGCTTCCCATCAGCTTCCTGTCAGCTTCATGCCCGCTTCCTGTCAGCTTCCCGTCAGCTTTCTGTCTGCTTCCTGTCAGCTGCCTGCCTACTTCTGGTATTTTCTGGAGACACGTCTTCCTTGCTTCACCTACCTCCTCATTTCCTTGAAATCCCTGAATCCAGTTTGGAGTCTCCCCGAACCTGAGAAGTGGTCACACTCGCCTGCTAAGAGACGCCAACACTAGTGAACAGGGCCCTTTCAGGGTGTGCAGCCCAATCCCAGCTCTCTCCCCTGGTGTCCAGAGATACCAGCGCAGGCTGCACCATCCTGGGACCTCAGATTGGTCATGCGGTCTTCTCCTTAAGCTCTGTGTCGCAGTATCTCCAACCTCCCCCTGCAGCCAGGGTGGAGCTGCTTTCAGTCCTTCCTACCTCTTCATTGCTTATTCTGTCTTTCCATTTTCTTCGGTAATAATTTGCTCTGTGAGTCACTGGTGTGATTTCTGTCTCCTGGTCACACCATGGCTGCTACAAGGGTGACTTTCCTGACTTCAGGTGTTTCTATGGCTACCCTGAAGGTCACAGCAGCTTCAGCCACAGTAACTCTGAGGTAGACACCTCCAAGTGTCCATCAGCGTAGGGTGCAGCAGGCCCATGTGGTGGCCTATTACCAATCCTTAAAAGGAATGAAATCCTACTACATGCCACCACACAGATGAACCTGGAGAGTGTTCTAAGCAAGGCAGGGACAAAAGGACCTGAGCCTGAGGCTGGTTTGTGAGGGCGACCTCCTCACTGACAGTTAGGTGGCCAGGGCAGGGGAACCGGGCATCACTGTCTGAGCTGTAGCATTGCTGATTACGGTGCTGAAGTGTTGTGGGTGTTGATGTGCTGGCGGTTGTGCAGTAAATGCATGTACACTTGGAAATGGTCACGTGGTAAACTTTGTGTCGCATGTATTTTGCCTGAATGCCCCTGCTTAAAAGCTCCAGTAGTGACCCTGCTAGGAAGTGGCTCAGTGAGGACTGACAGGTGAGGGCACGTGCTTTCCCAAGCAGCGTGCTGCAGCTCTGTTATGGCTTGTGTCTCACTGTCCCCCCAAAGCCTCATGTAGTCATGGACTGGACTTCTAGACTCTGTGATTTATTCATGAGCCAGAGCTGGGATTATGGGTGTGAGAGCTGCTGGGATTATGGGTATGAGTGCTACACCCAGCCTGGGGCAGACAGCCTGCATGCAACATAAGGGAGACAGACATGCTCTCTCTAGCCATTGTTGCCACTGCTCCTTCCATTTGCTCTTGCTGTTTTGCTGTTTTCTGTCACCATGGACTGCTGCCCTCTGCTACATGCTGCTCTGCCTTGGAGCCAGCTGAGTATGGACTGAAACTTCTAGTAACTGTGAGCTGAATAAACCTTTTCTTCCTGCATTTTTGGTGCTGGGTATTTTGTCCTAGCAACAAGAGAAGAGTAACTGAGACAGGCACTGCTGGAGGTGTGCATGTAACGGTCCCTGTGGGTGCACTGTCCCCTCTACCCTGGGTGCTGCATCCATCCAGTTGCGTGGTATCATCTGCCACCAGACCCAGCACTCTTGGCAGGCCATGTTTACCTCTTTCCTGAGCAGTGTTTCTAAAATCCCCCGAGATGACCCTACATAGAGTGCGTCCAGTACACTGAGAGCCCACGGCTCTCTGGGAAGCATTTCATGGGCTACCCCACCATAGAAAGCAAAGGAAGGAGAAGAAGCAGCCTTGTCTAGTAACACTGAAGCAGATTAAGTCATGCAGCACTTTCAAGAGGCAGGAAAACAGCAACTCCAAGAGGCACGGTGAAGGCGAGATATCAGTGTGGCTGGGTGATGTGACTTCACATGATTGGCCAAGTGGCCCCACACGTCCCTGGCCAGCCATGCCCCATGACACCTGTGAAATTATAATAATTAGTGCACGAGTGGAAATAGGGCTGAAGATTTTTCTTGGCATCATAGCACCAAGGCTGCCGAATGTCTTATAAAGCAAACAGATAGCCCGCCTCTGGGGGGGGAGGCGAGGGCCCACAATTCCTGAGTCGGTGCGGGAGCTTCACCTGATGCAGTCTGCAGCTGGAATCCTGCCTACTGTCCTCAGCTTGGCCACCTGGCAGGTGCTGGTGGCTCTGCTAGTCCCAGAAACCTCTGTGTCCCAGGTGATCAGGTGTGGGGCAGGAAATGGAGCTCTCCTTCCACCGGCCGGAAGAACTTTGGTGGACACAGCTCCAGCCCGGTGGGGCTTTCTCTCGGTCCGCCCCAGCCACCCGGCTCATATAGCTGTCAGGGAGGGTGTGGAATTCCATAGCACTTAAGCGCCTTCCTGCGTTGAGTCCTATGATTACTCCTTGGCGTGACTGCAGGCTCCTTTGGGTAGAAAGCAGGCCAGCCTTCCTCTGCGGAAATACCTTCCAGAATTCCAGCGTCTTTTCCCCACCGCATGGGGCGGCAGCTCCGACGCGCCCACCCAGCCGTGCTGTATACTGGGCCTGTCTGAACAGCACCGCCCTTCGCATCCCCTCCAGCCCCGCTCTAGCCGCTTGGCTCGGCTCCCTTCCCGGGGCGCACGCCTAGCTCTGGAAGTGTTCCTGCTCCGGGCTGTGGACCGTTAGTGCAGGTTAACCCAAGGAATGGTGGGAGCTGCACTCACCATGAACGATGTGGACACTTAGCTGTACCAGTCCTCAGACCCCGAATCACACGCTTCTGCTCAAGCCTACACGTAATGTCTCCCTGCATCTGCCTGGAATTCCAGAAATGCATCCCGAATGGCCAGTGCTGACCTTGCTTGCTTTGTGCTGTGGCGAGGGGACGCATACGTCGCAAGGACAAGGGAGATGGTCGTTCCCTTCAGGAGTTTAACACTCGTTTAGGGCTACAGAGTATTTTTTTTTTTTTATCTTAATGGAGAGCTTTAGTTATTTTTGTGGTAAAATGCATGAACAGGAAAATCATGTTAACTGCTTTAAGTACATGATTCAGTAGCAGTGCGTGCTTCACGCTGTGACCTTTTCTCAAAATTATTTATTTCGAGCTACAAATTTGGCTGTGTAAAAGTGAGTTCTACCCTCACCTTTTGGGCGTGCTTTGGTCAAACACACACGGTCGGGGGTGGGGATGGCAAGGCTCTGGCCGCCTGGCGCCCCTCCCGCCCCGCCCCCACTGCTCCTCTCCCGTCCCCACGTGTCCCCACCGTGTCCCCACCGCGCCCTCCCTGCCCCTTACAGGATCCGGGCGACTGAAGGCCTCACAGCAGGGCGGAGCCCGTGGAAGCGTTTCTGCGGCCCCAGGGCGCAGGGAGAGGGCTGGGGGCTCCTGGCTCCAGGAGCGCGCCGCGGCTACGGCTGGGTCCTCAGCCACGCTGGACGCCGAATGGGGAGTCGCTCGCAGGTGTAGACGGGCATGTTCGGGTCAGAGGGACGCTCAGAAGACACTCCTCCCCGACGGCTGCTCTGGCCGCACAGCGGCACGCCGGGCCACAGCTCTGTGCGGTGCGGCCAGCCAGGGCGCAGGACCGCACCGCAGGAGACGCCACCCCGAGGCCGCACCACGCGTCTCCGGTGTCGCCAGCCCGAGCGCAGCCCTTAACGCGGGGAGGCCTCAGCCCGCCTGCCTCACGCACACCTTCCCAGTGTGCTCCTGTTCCGGCCTTGGAGCCCTGCAGAGCTCTCAGAATTAGAGCCTGAGGGTGACACCCCACTTCCTGCTGCCTGCCACGTGGGATGTGAAAGGTTCACAATGAGACGCACAGCTCACAGCAAGCGCTTCGTGTTGGTCAGTACTCCCGCCCCTTCCTCACGGGGTGTTTTTCCGGAGGGCCTGGCAGGCGGCCCAGCTGGCTGATTGGAGGGCAAGGGGGGTTCTTCCCAAGACTGTTCTTCTCAACCCTCCCATTGGCTGGGTAAATGGACAAAGGGCAGGTGGCATTTACACACCACGGAGTACTACACAGCCACTGGAGTCACAGGTAGGCAAGTGGGACATCTTTTTTCATGTATTTGGTACAGGGTCTCACTATGAAGCTCGGATTCGTAGTGATCCTCCTATTTTCAACCTCCCCAGTGCTGGGATTGCAGGCATGCACAACCGCACCCAATCTCAGTGGCCGTCTCGGCGCACCAGGGTGTGGGCCTGGTGTGGCACGTGATGTGGGGGACGGAATCCTGGTCCCTGTGCTTGCCTAGGCTGGCACATCTTGAGGCTACAGTACTAAGTGAAGTAAATCAGACCCTCAGCTTAAGTGTCCTATACATTCTCTCACACGAGAAAGCTGAAGTTTACAAGAGCAAAGTACAAGATGACAGGAGGCAGGGAGACAGAGCCTTCGTGAAAGGGAGGAGACCAAGAGGTGGGCAGAGGGGTAGGGTGAGGACAGGTGGGCCGGGAAGAGGGGTTACGGCATGTTAAGTGCATGGGCTGGACCAACTTCTCTTGAGGAATACAGTCATTCTGGATGGAGACAGATGCTACTAAAAATAAAATTAAATAAAAATAATAGTTTAAACTACAACTCTTGTTGCATAGGTCCTGCTTTACCTTGGTCTTAACCATCCAGTAGAAAAGTATGAAGACGAAATATAGGAAGTAAAGCCATGCTGTTATGTTGAGCTGTGGGGGACTCAGGTCAAAAATTTCTGACATTGCCAGTTAAACAGAAGACCCAATGCTATTATGGGCTGCTGGACTCTTTTAGAATATTTTGCTGAGTTTACACACCTGTAACATTCAATAACGGAACTTAAAAAAAAAAGGGGTATACAGATGAATGTCCATTTTGTATCTGTGTATTTAAAGTGGTTGGGATAGAGATATAGTTACATTCTCTCAATGAATAGAATGATTTGTTCTAATGGTGTTTGTAAATAGGATCTTAGGTCTGCATCTTGTACAGCAATTAACCACTAAGAAGAATATATGCAGTGTGTTGGTTATTGAAACTGTCCTACCAATTTGATTTGAAACTGTCTCATTGCTGTTTATCAATAAAATTATGAAAAAAATAATAGTTTAAAACCCACACAAAACAAAACAAATTCTTTATACCCCCATTTTCTAAAGATTCCCGTGCTTTTACTGTAATAAAATTAAACCTAATTAGCTCTTATTTTTATGGTTGTTTTAGAGACTCTCCACCTTTATGCAAAGGAACATCTCTTGATAGCTCAGGTATTTACAGGTATTTTACATGAGCCCAGCATGTTCAGCTCCAAGGTGTGGTGTCACCTGGCTCTCCTTCACCTCCATTTTCAGGTCAGACGTCTTCTTGTCCAGGAACTGACACCTGAAGGAGAGATAGGGTGCACCGTGTGCGCACATTCTTTTTCCCCAGAGGACACCACAGCGTCTGATGCCCTGCGTGCATCGTCAAGTGATCCTTGAGTCAACCGCTTAGGAAGCAGAAGAGGGTGCAGAAACTCCAGCTGCTGGCTGCCCACCTTCTGCGCTTCCATTTTCTAGAGACGGTCAGGGCGCCTAAAGAAGGAAAAGGAGCCGGACTCCGGGCAGCCAGGTTGGCCACCTCCCAGGCCCTCTGGAAGAACAGTCTGCGGGGAGGGGGCTGGCATGCCGACGAGCGCTCTCGGGGCGAGCTGCGCGCTCCAGTCTTTCTGAGCCATTCACATCCTGAGCATCAGGCAACAGGAAGCAGAGTGGCGTCCTGGCACTGTAATTCTGAAAACTGGAGGATTCTGAGGTCAGAACATGAGTGCATTGTGAAGCATAGTAGAGATTGTTAAAACATTTTCCCATTCTTTATGTTTGTCACTTTCCATCCCTGGGACAAAATACTCGACACACACAGCCTCAGGCGGAGCAGTTTGGGTTGGCTTGCGGCCTGAGCATGTTCAGGCCATAGTCGTGCTTCCCAGGCAGGAGGATGTGGTGGAGCAGAGCCGGTCAGGGTGCGGCCAGGAAGTGGCCACGTAGGTATGCACCGCCAGCTCGCAGCCAGCCCCACCCGCAGCCGCGCCCTGCCTCCCGGCAGCCGCGGAGAGTGCACAGGTGGATTAGTGGATTAACCCGCTGAAGAGTACAGCAGTCCCCTGGGCAAGCTTGGTACAGAAACACTACCTCTGAGCACACGAGACTCTGGGGACACTGTAGATCTGAACCACGGGTGTGTTCTTATCTATCCTATGGCCGAAACATTCATTACTGATCTTTTTATTCTGGAAGATCTTCTGCAGTGAGGGCTACAGCTACATGAGGGCTATACTGACATATCAAAAGTATAAAAATGTGGTGTGTTTAAATTTTAAAAATGTATCAGTAAAAGACACATTGCCATGAATCCCCTTGAAATACTCCCCTTGCTTCAAGCACATTCACCCCACTGCTCCTGTCACTTTCTGCAGCAGCTTTGGAAATCTTTTTTGTGTGTGTCTTCCCAAGTTCTCACAGAAAGTGTGGCCGAGCGCCATCGGCAGAAAGCAGCTCGTGTGACACTATGGTGCGTCCTCACACACCTCATTCTCCAGGTCTTGGCACCGTGCGACGTCTGGGTCCTCCCTGAAGTCACAGTGACCATGAGGGGTAAAGCTTTGGAATGATGCACCACATGGAAGCAACCGCAAGAGCCCAGGCTGGCCTCAAACTCTCAGAAATTCTCCTGCCTCAGCCTCCTGAGTACTGGGGTTACAGGCCCGCACCACCATACTCAGATTTATTAATTCTTCTCCAAAACGCTGTTTTTCAATATGAGAGTTGTTTTATAATGAAAATCAATTGATAACTTTTGAGCATCTTCTCATCAATATTGTTAAAAGATAATCAAATTCAGTTCTGACAACAAGAAAACGTTTTCAAGTCTTCTTTTTCTTTTTTGTTCTTTCATTTTCTTTCTCTTTTCTCTTTTTTCTTTCTTTCTTCTTTCTTTCTTTTCCTTTCTTTCTTTCTTTCTTTCTTTCTTTCTTTCTTTCTTTCTTTCTTTCTTTCTTTCTTTCGTATTTAGTACAGAGTCTACAGGGTCCCACTATGTAGACTGAACTCATAGTGATCCTCCTGCTTTCAGCCTCCCAAGCACTGGGATTACAGGCCTCACCACCCGCCCAGTTTAAATAGCCATTTCAGCCCGCCTTAGGGGCTGGGCCAGTACGGCAAGCGGGGATCTAACTCCATCGCGAGCCTGCCTAAGCAGGGGCTTTAGTCTGCTCAGCTATTCTTTTCTTTTCTCTGGTTTTCTCTGTCCCGAAAGGCAAAGATTCGGTACCAGCCTCTTGGATTTTGGACCTGTTACCACTGCTATACAACAGTGGTTTTGTTAGCATAAGAGAGCTCTTGCATTCCTTCCAGACTTTGTCATTCCTAGGGCATCTACAGTGCTGATTCAGGGGGACTAGGCAATCTCCTAAATAAGAACATTTTGTATCATGCTGGGAAAACTTCTCATTGGTCAATTTTTGCACTTCTATTATTTGAAAGTAAGTTGCAAGCTTGGTGTCAAGGTGAGATCATTTATTTCTACAACTTCTTTTAAAATTTCTCTTGTGCCCGGTTTGGATACATGACTACGAGTCTATTGGTCCCAAGTTTCTTCTTTTCCACGTCCCTATAAATTTGGGGGGCTTAATGTGTGTGTTTATAAAGTCGTTGCTTCCTGGGGACTGTGAGCCAGGCTTCTCTTTCACAGGCCCCAGAGGGGGTGCCGTGAGCGTACTGGTTGTTAGAGCGCTACCTCAAAGGGGAGGTGAGGGTGCGGAGCGTGCCTGAACTTGCCTTCGCTCTCCGCGCAGCCCGGCTCCGCTGCTTCCACGGAAGCGTCTCCTCGGGGTTCTTTCCGGCTCGCGGGACTCGGGCTGGCTGAGGGTCTGCAGACACGTGCACCCCGGCACCTGCGTGTTCTGCTCGAAGCACAGGATTTCTCTTCTGGAAACGCACATTCGGCTTTCCAAAGGCGGGGAGACCTCTGAAGAGTCTAGAGGAAACCCCGCATGCTGCCCCTACCCGAGAGCCCACAGCTCGGGTCTGGCTGGGTGTGCCCGCTCCTGCCCGCTGCACCCTGCAGGTCCCTGCGCTGCCACCACTCCTGGGTTCTTCTCCTTTCCGTCCTTTAACAACCCACCCCTTCGCACTTGCTTCCTGGGCGAGGTTACCTTCACCAGCTCCTAGGAGCGGACTCGTGGAGAAGGGTCAGCCAGGAGCGCCTGGGCGCGCGACAAGGAGGGAGGGCGAGGCTCAGTGAGCGCTCTGCCCGGGGCCCAGCCGGGTCCCAGATGTGGATTCTGTGCTGCAAGACAGTGAGCGCCCTTGCACCCCAGGCCCAGGCAGATACAGAGCTCAAATGAGCGGAGGCCAGTCCCCTTGCCAGCTCTCTGGGGAACCCTTCTCCCCTCGGAGCCCCGGCAGAGGGCCTGCGCCTTGGGCCCCACTCCTGCTGAGTCAGGCTGCTGGTTGACTGGAATTTGTGTCCATGAAGCATCTTTGTCCTGCCTTGTCCCAGTTCTCTCCCTTGTGGGCTGCGCAGGCCAGCAGGTCCCCCTTTTCCAGTCAGCAAATCTCCCCTAGCCCCACCCCAAGGCAAGGCACCCCATCGGAGGTCTTCTCCGGGGCTGGGCAGCTCTTCAGGATGAAAGCGAGGCCAGGAAGAGGACGAGGCCTGAGTCCTCAAGCGAGGCAGGAGGGCCGTTCTGAGAATTGCATCAAATTGTGAGTGTGGTTGGTTTCCTCAGCAAAAGAAGATGGGGTGAGGAAGGACAGAGATAAAGACAGAAAGGAGACAAGGAAAACTATACTTCCAACATCTAACTTTTAAGGAAACTGCAGCTTAGGAGACAAATTTACCTCAGGTCATCCAGATGAGTGTTTAGGCCTTGCTGCTGAGGCTCCTCTGCTTCTTGCTTCTTCCATCATGCCAAAGCTCTCAGAGATGCTCTGTCCCTGCTGGTGGCAAGAAGGGCAGCAACCTGACTTTGAGATGAACTGACAGATTCAGAGGTCTCAAGGGGATCATGGGCAAAATATCTTAGGTCAGCCGTCTTGAAGGGCACCTCCGGAGCTGTGGTGCCTCTCTGTCCCTCCCTCCCGCCTCCCGTCCTCGGACCGGTGCTTCTGTCACTCTGCCTACTAATCTGCCACTGGAGTCTACATACATACTGGGGGAAGTGGTTAAAGTCCCTTCTTTATTTGGGGACGGTTAGAGACTGCAGCTGCAGAGAAAGCAGGCACCAGGCTGTGGGGTAGGAAGGAGGCAGGTCACTAACAGGAAGCCAGGTTGACTGAAGTCTGGGCCGAACTGAGTGCAGGGAAGAGGGGGCACCCTCGCTGGCCTGCTGCGCCCTGCTGGGGCTTTGGCTGTTATTCATGGATTGGTGCATCCACTCATTTGGCGGATGCTTGGCTGGACCCCTCCATCCCTCCTTGGGATAAAAGAGAAAGCAGAGTGAACATGACTCTTACGCTCGTGAAGCTCCATTCAGGGCAGAGAGAAGAGAGTGAAAACAGCATGAGGTCCACAGTGCTATGGGGAAGGGAAAGGGCGCTTGGCTCTCAAGGAGCAGAGCAGCCTTCCTGAGGGGCTGGTGAGGAGCAGGCTGCAGTGGTCATGGAGGCCGGGCCTGCCCCAGCAGCTCAGCTGAGCTGTGGAAAGGGAGGCAGATGTGGCAGTGGGAGTCAAGGCTGCTGTGATGAGGACTGCACGGCATGGCACTGGCGAGGGTAGGGCTGAGCGACGTTCAGGAGGCCAAGTTCCCTGCTGGCGGCCAACCAGAAAGCAAACAGCCCTGCTCATCCGAAGGCCCTGGGTGTTCTACCAGCAGTCTGCAGGCTGCTGCTCCAAGCCCACTTTCCTGTGAATAACAACGTGTATGTTGGTAAGTACTTACTTTCAGAATTGCTATTGGGTGTGTGAGTTCCAAGACGCATCTGCGATGAAGGTTGGCTTTGCTGCCCCGTGCAGATCCGCTGGTCAGGAGAGTGCAGGTCCCGGGACGAGGTCGCTGGTTTGGATGGAGCAGTGTTGACCTTCCTTGCTGTAGGGAAAGGCTGGGAAAAACCACACCAGTGCTCGGGCTATGGCGTTGTCACTGTTGTTCCTCTATTTTGGGCTTGCTGATCCCCAGGCAGGGAATGCTGCCCGCTGCCAGAGCTGCATTGCCTTGGAGAGGGCACTACATGCTGGACCTGCCAAGCACACTGGGGTCTGATCCTCTGCCACCCCCGGTGCCACGCCGAGCTCTGTAGGTGAGAGATGAATGCCTCAGCAGGTCGCTCGGTAGGGTGAGGAGCAGCCCTTCATGTGGCCTCCTTCCCAAATGCATCTCGAGGGGTTGAAGCCCACAGCCTGTGGCTGCAGTGAAGTTTTGGTCTCTGTGTACCTGTGTGGGTGCTGGGTCCTGTGATTTATGTGCAGGGGAGAGCCTGTCGCCAGGGCAGGCAGTGGGGCACTTCAGGTCCAGAGCCCGCCCCATCACAGAGCTGTGCCTGGCCCCCTCTACATCTTCATCCCAGCCTTCAAGCAGCTCTGCCCGGGACGTCTTGTGGCCAATGCTGCATCCAGCCAGTCCTGGTAGCCAGGAGCAGAGAGACAGGGAGGAGTGGGCAATAGATGCACCTCCAGCCAGGTCCCCCCCAACAGCAGGTGTACAGTCCACATTGTGCAAGCACCTCCTGATGCAGGATGAATCTGGACACTCATCCAATGTCCAGGTAGACGCTAGGGAGCATGGGAGGAAGGACGGGCTTGGGGGTTCATGGTTCTGTTTTAGACAACTCTGAGAGGAGCTGTTGATGCTCCGGGGGTTCAGCTCCCGCCAGATGGTTTCCATCTCCCCAGACCCTTCCCTGGTGGGACAGCTGCTTTAGCAGCTCCAGGTTGACAATTGCAGCCTAGTCGCATCTCTGGTTGGGGTGGAGACAGGGCAGAGCTGGTCCCGTGGACCCTCCCCACACTTGTGTGCACAGCAAGAGCAGCGAAGAACATAGTCCTGAGCTGCAGGCGACAGCTGTGCTAGCACCAGCCTGCCTGCGAGCCGCACCAGCACTCCAGTCTGGCTGTCTGCACTGCCCCCAGCAGCCACGTGCCAGGCCCCCGCCCAGGCTTTGCACTGCTGAACTCCCCTGGAAGACTCCTGCCAAGACCAAAACTGTAGCTCTTCAAGGCCTGCGTGCCTTGAGACGGCTCGAAGGCCATCGAGGGACTTAAGACTGTCAACAGCATGGCCTCCATGGTTTCCTCCTCTCCCAGTCTGTGGCTACAGTAAAACGGACCTCGTTGTTGGTGACAGTCATGATTATATGACAATTCAAAGCAAAATGGAGTCTGTCTTCAACCACAAAGTCCTCTCATCAGTTGTCCTCTGTGCCTGGCACTTTTCCTTTCATTAACATGCAGCCTTATTGGCTCATTAACATGTAGCCAAACCCTTGGGAACATGAAGCAGTTGTGTGAGCCACTCACCCATTTGTATGCATTTGTATGCATGCGTGACTGTTCAGCTTCTAACAACCTATCCAAGGCCAAAATACATTAGGGGGTTCAAATAGAAGCTCACAGGGAGCCCCGTAATGAGACTGTGTTGGTTATTCCAGCGTTTTGCCCATTTCCTCTTTCTCTAGTAGTTTCATTAGAACTCCAGTCATTGTAAGAGCAAGTAGATTTTTTATTGTTTGCCTAGTTGCTGTGATACCAGTGCATGGCCAACCATCTGTAAAGCTGCAGTTATTACCCTTACTTAAAATTTAGCAGGCATCCTCAGTGCTGGGGAAGGAATTCTGCAAGAAAGCCAGCAGGGAGACCCAGCTCTGCACAAAAATGGGCAATGGGACCCTGAGTGCCACATCAGACCAGAGCCTAGAAGCAGTGCTCGTGGACACTGTGGGAAGGTCCTGAGTGTGGATTCGCTGCTGTCCGGCAGGTGCCTGCCATTCGGAGCCCAGCAGCCTCCTTCTCTGCAGGGAATGTGGGTCCATGCACCCACATGCTTACTTCATTCAGCATTTCTTGAAATGGATGAGCATGTTGGCTCTGTAATTTATGTCTCAATGATTCCAGCAGAACTTTCTCCTTCAGCCTCACAGTTTTTTCTTGTTCTTTTATGTGTTTTTCTCTCCATTCAGCAGTAAATTGAGAGTGACGGTGGTTGAGTTCCTGCCACTGCAGTTTCTCTCTCTTCCCAACCCCTTTGGCCAGGGATGATTCTGAGGAGGCCTGACAGTGAGATGGTGCGGAGGCAGCTGCTCTCTGGAATGAGACGCGCTGGTCCTGCTACTGCAGGCAGGGAGCCAGCCTTGCCCTGCTATCCTGCTTCAGACAGGGCAGCACTGTGTTGCCAACCTGCTGAGGGAGGGAGGTGCTTCTCTCCCAGAGCCGGCGTGACCACATCCCAGACCGGCTGGAACAGACCAAGGCTGCACCTAGTGTCCAGCACGACTGTGGCCAGCCTAGGTTCGTGTCGTTGCACTGTCACAGACTGCATGCTCAGCCTGCTCGATGCACCACTGTAGATCCTGTATCTCATTAGGCAAATGGTATATGGACATTAAGGTTTAATGACGGAGTTCTGCTCCTGTGACTAGGTTGTTAATTGAGGTGGTCATTAACTATACATGCCTCATGCATTACACTATTCAGAACAAAGAAATGGTCAAGGGAAACTCTAGCTTGATTAACTTGCTTCTATTTGCATAACTCTTACACGCAGTAATGTAATATATGACAGAACAGAAAGCTACAGTACTGTACTGTGCAGTACAATCAGCAAAAATCACAGTATGTAAATATAAGTCAAGCTCTACAAAAAGGCATTAAGGTTTGATAAACAAGAAGCACAGAACTATACAAAGAAAAGAAATGGGTCATCAAGTCTGAATAGTTGTTAGACAGGAAGGTCATTTGACAGGGAGTCTGCCCAGTTTTAGCTGGCTCCATCTGCCTGGGGCAGGGCCTTCAGGAAGATTACTTGCAATTGAGTAAAGGAATAGCTGCCTTTGTCCAGCAGTGGCCTTCTGGGCATTATGGGGTTTGGCCTAGTGCTGATGCCGAGGAGGTGTCAAGCTCACTTGCGCATTATTACAGAGCTCAGGGCCCTTTCCAAGGCCCTACATCCCTCCAGGTGGATGCCCCTATCTCAGAAGACATCCCCAAGGCCTCCTTCCACTGGTCATCCGCTGTGTGTGATATGTGGTGAGACCGCCCTGGCCATCTGAGGACAACGGCCAGTCCTTTCTGGCCATCTGGAGCAGGCCTTCCACCTGGCTCAGGTTGGTTTTGAATTAAACATCTTTGACCACACAGAGAACGCGGGCAGAGCCCTGGCTAGGTGGTCCATAGTGAGCCTTCTATGCTTGCAGAAAGAGGAAAGAAAACAAGATGAAAGGGAGGCATAAAGGCCCGCGCACATGACTAACAAGATAGCCACAAGCTCACAACACTACTGTGAGTTGCCAAGGGCCCTCAGTCCAAGGACCAAACTGAAAGGAAGTTGAAGTTCTCTGGATGGAGCCGTTAGTGGGCATGGCCACTCCCTCCTTAAGAAATGTCTTAGAAATAGTAGGAAAATTTCTTAGTAGAACTTCTTACCCTGTGCCTCTGTTTACAGTTTAAAGGATGGTGTGAAAACACTCACAAGAGGCTTTGTGGGCACAGGGCTTAGCTGGCACTGGCACCAAAAGGGACCTCCTTCAGGCCCATTGTCACACCCTGAGGCCTGTTTTCCTGGAAAACATGAAGACAAAATAAGGAGTTCCAGCCCTCCCACTGAAGTTTAGTTTCTGCTACTTTGACTCATAGTCATAGCTATGAAAGTCATTCAAGTGCTGCCTTATCATAGCACGTCAAGAGCATCCAAGTACTTAGGAAACCAGTTCTTTCTCTTAAGAAAATTATAGTTCAGTGGGGAGAAAAGATGGACCATGATCTGACGTCTCAGTGGTCAACCTGAGAAGACATCCCAGAGCCCTTCAGGAATCACGTGGTGTGTGGCTGTTCCTTTTCTCCTGGAAAGTCTGCTTTTTTTTTTAACAATATGGTGAGTGTGTACCTCCGACATACAGTCCTGTGGCCCGTTTCCCTTGGGCGGTCTGCTCGTGAGCACAAATGACAGGAGCAGGAGCATATGCACAGTCTGTTTTTAGGTACTCAGGGGCTTGGGGTGATGGCACATGGTGGGGGGTTGATCCTAGGAGTCAGGGTTCTGGCAAAAACATGGGGGCTAGTGGGTCCCTGCTTTGCAAGTCTCTGCTTGGGGGACTGCACAGTGCTCACCCAGGGCGCACTTGCTTTGTCCTGCGTGTGGTCTAAACGTAGGCTTTGTGTTTGTAGCCCTGGAGCCTGAGAGCGCCCAGATAAATAACTAATTTTTCAAATGACAAATGTCTTGGATTTGTCTTTTGGGGGCTATAATTCAGAGGCTGACAGTACCCTTCCTAATTTGGGAATAACTTCTTGCTGCTTTGTATTTTGAATGTGCCCAGCTATCTGCTTTCGCTGCTATTTCCAGGATCCCCAGAGAGCTGCTCCCTTGGTTGTCATAGCAAGGACAAACAGTGAAGAAATCCAAGAACTCTGCGTTTTCATAAAGCATTTATTTTTATGTGAAAACATTATACAGGCATTACCTTGCCACAGCCAGTCCAGAGGGGAGCATGCAAATATCAAAAACGGACAGTTTGTTCAGCTTATTAGTGTAATTTTCCTTTTTTGGTTCATATTTTTCCATTTGCAGTGTCAGGATTAGTGTGCTTTGTTATGTGGCTTAACAATAGAATCCTACCCATGGGGTAAAATCTGTACTGGTGTCTAGCTGGGACTACTAAATGGTTACAAAGAAAAAATAAACCCAAACAAACAATACTACACGCCTGTCAGAAGGTTAATAGCACAAGTTAGCAATATCTAAACTAAACATTGAAACATTTTCGTGGGACACAGTGCTGCAAACCGTTCCCTTGTGTGGTCTAGCGCATGAGTGCGTAGAGCGGAGCCGGGGAAGGCGTGACCAAGAGGAGCTGTCCCCAGCCCAAGACTTCGGTGAGACCGTGCGGACCACCACTTCCCGGGGCGCGGGCCGCTTCAGGAGAGTGTGACTGCATGACACAGATCTCGCAGTCGCATCTCAGCGAGGAAGAGTGAGGGTGGACTGAGAAGCTGACAGCTTTGCTGGTTTCTACTGAGGTTATAAAATCTCAGAAACTAGGAGTGCTAAAATTAATACTGTCCTACTCCCACTTCCTGCCCCATTCCCAAAGGATCGACGTTTTTACACAGAAAAAGAGTGTGTCCTTTGCTACTCTTCTCCTCAGGGTGAGTCTGAGCTCCTGGTCACAGACAGCTCAGTGCCTGTGCAGCCTTGTAAATAGAGACAAACCAACACAGTGAGGTGACCTGGTGACATGAAGGGCTGATTACCAGGACGCCCTGTGACGAAGGGCTGGCAGTGAGTTTGCCATGACCTTCACGCTGGTCTCCCTACAGCAGTCAGTCTAATCATCCTAGAAAAAGACTCAGATGGCAGCCTTAGTCGTTGGTCAGTTGCAAACCTTTGGAAATTTGAATTTTTAAAAAATTCCCAGTCCACTGAGTAGACTTTGAAATTGTTCCAGCCACTTGCTTTTCATAAGACTTTACTAAGCGTCCACAATTTAGCATCATAAAAATGAGTCAAAAAGACAAAAACATTTGGCTTAAAATAAATACTACAAATGAAATAACTCAAGCAAATTATGCAAACCAAAGGAATGTAAACACAAAAATTAAACCACAATCTTCAAAAGTCTTCGATGTGAATTAAGAAAAACATTCAGAGAAAGGTATTTAATTGGTTGAAAGATAGCAAGGTCGTTTTGATTTGACAGTGCTTCAGGTTGACCTGGACCCCGCAGCACAGGACGCCTGCTCCTGGGGGGCAGCAGTGACCGTGAAGCCTGCATGGAATGAGGGGGGTCTCCCTGCCATCTTCTGTGACAGGACCCTGGCCTGGAGGAGTCAAGCAAAACGGCTGCCGAAGCGCTGGGGACAGCGCCGGCTGTGTGTGCCTGCACTTCCAGGCCTCCTCAGCCTGCACCCACCCTGCTGTCTACAGACTCCAGTGGCTTTGTGTTGTTTACCTCCCTAAAAGGCATCGATTGGAATCGCCAAGGGCACATAAGCGCCATGCAGGCCCTGGCACCCTCAGACGGCCCTGAAGTCAGCCCAGCCTGTGACCCCGCCTGTGAGCCTGTTCCAAGTGACGGTCTGCGGTTCTTGGGGGCCTGGTTTAGAATGAAGGAGCCATGTAAGGGCTCTGAGTTTGGCTGGAGCCACACTGCGCAGGGCTCGTGGGGCCCTGCAGCAGTCTCTTCATCCATGGGGATGTTGCGTCAGTGCGCTCTGCTGTTGGATGCCTGTCAAGCAGGACCACCTTGCGGACTTTCCAATGGTGACATCTGCCTCTGTGACTGAGCTGCCGTCTAGCCGGCTCTGCCGGGCACCATGACCTCGGGAGGTGGCCTAACCCGTGCTGCTCCAAAATAAAGGTAATTTCCAGGCTGGTACATTTCCAAAAGGTGCTATGTAATTGAGGAATATGGCTTTTTTCTGTGCCGTGATTAATTTCCATATTATGAGTAAGAAAAGGAAATAGGAGAATAAAAAAGTTTTGAAGAGACGATTTAGGGAGGGGTAGAAAAATTGTGAAAGCAAGTGTAACCCTAAACACAAACGCTCCTATGCTGGGGGCTCCCTAAGCCACAGACACGGGATAGTTCTTGTCCTGTTATTACAGGGACTTCATTAGCTGAATTACGTGGCCCAAAAGAAGGACGACAGCCTAGGTAACCAGAGACTGAAATATCAAAAGGCTAAAATACTTGTTTAAATCTATTCCTAGAATAGAGAATTGTGTGGTCAGTCACCCCTCCCCATGAGGGTCACAGCACGAAATACTCACTGAGCAGGCAGGCGGTCAGCAGGGTGAGAGAGCCACAGCCTCTGGGCCCAGGTTCTCTTGTGGCACTTCTCAGGGTGGCCCTTCTGTGGCATGTGTCACTGTGCGCCTGTGCAGGGCTAGAGCAAGACCCCTCAGAGGTGACCTGTCGCAGTGCAGTGGGCTTCTGTGGATGTGTGGGCCCTGGCCATGGTCCTGTCAGGAGGCCGGAAGATCCTCCTGGGGATGGGCGTCACGGCAACCTTACAGCTCATGACAAGGAGGACACAGATTTTGATCAGGACATTGTCACAGGAAATGACGTGGGGGTGGGACAGTGTGCGCACCGCTGAGTGGCTCCAGGCAGTGCACCAGGCCTGGGCCCTGGCGGTCCTTCGCATGCGCCTCTCCAGGCTCCCAGGATTGCTACCTCGCAGGCCACCTGCGTGGGCTGCACCTAGTAAATACCTTTCTCTATGTACAAGGCGGGGATGGCGGTGAACGCAGGCCGGCCTAGGCCACGCGCACGCGGGGCTCCTCTTCGGTCTCCTGGCCCAGGCTGGTGTAGGTGACCGAGGGCTCCACCTGGGCCGCAGCGGGCAAGTCCACGACAGGCCCCGCAGGGTTGCGGAACTGCTTGTACACGCGGGGATCTTGGGCCGTGTAGGTGGCGGTGGAGGAGTACAGCACCAGCCCGATGAGGGTGGTGAAGAAGGACAGCAGGTAGAGCCCTGAAAACTGAGGGAGACAGCGGAGGCTTAGCGGGAGCGCAGAGCCCGGCTCCCGGGAGGCGGAGGAGCAGCCTCCTCCCTGAACGGGGAAGACCGGGCCGGCACTCTCGACCGAGGGGCGCCTCTCTGTGCTGGCTGGGTCTTCGTGTTTCCTGCCTCTCCTAGACCTGTGGCTGACCTGAGGACACTTAGCTGCTTGCCCCTGGAGTACCAGGTGGTGTGTGTGGTGGCTCGTAAGCACAAATTAAAATACATCGGGCTAAATGCAGAAAACTCCAACAGTAAAGAGTCAGTTGTATTCGGCCTCATTGAACCCACCAAGAAACATGAATATTCCATTAGGAATACGGATATTCCACTTGTGGTTGCAAAGAAGCCATAAATAATGACAGCCCACAGACCAACACTCTTTTTGCCTTAGTCCCTACAGATGTTGTCTTCCCAGGAGTAACTGGCATCATCTCTGGTGGCTGTCTTCATGGGATCTCACTATCCTCGAAGAAGGAAATACTGGGACTTGCCCTTCCCGCGCCACCCGTAACAAAGCAGGTCAAGTGGAACATCCACGGGCTCGCCACTTCCTAACCGTGCATGACAAGTCTAGTGGTTCCGTGTGAGGTGGGCATGAGTTTGTACAATCCCGAGACTTACAGATGGTTTTAAAAACTACAGCACAATAGTTTAAATGGCACACAGATCCTCTTATGAGAGGAAGCCCACAAATGAAGAATGACAAAGAAGACATGCTGGGGCACAGAGGCAGAGCTTCTCCTGCAGGGGAGGGGACCAAGAGAGGGCGCTGGGGAGCAGACGGACCTAGGGCGGGATGTGTTCTGTGCACACACCCTCCCTGAGGGGGTATGATGGCTGCACACTGCAGTCAGTGACTATGCAGTTGAAGAGACAGAGCTTGAGAAACTGGCCTGGCGACCCTCCTGCTGCCAGAGGAGATGGTGACAGGAGGAGGGGGGCCATTTCCTCACTCAGTCACTCATTCCTCGTGGCACATGTGTCAGCTTCTGTCACGCCTCCTCTACCTGGTGCACTAAAGAGAGGCGACATGTATGGTTGGTTCCCATCTGAGGACTCTGCAGTCTCCGTGGAGCAACAGAGGTGCAGATGAGCCAGATCCCCGGCACTTTCGGCGCAGGTCTCAGGTCAGTCCCTCGCTCTTACCCCAGGAGCTGCTACCGGCTGCATCTAAGGAGAAGGCATCAACTCTACTTTCCTAGTTTGTTTTTAGTGGTTTTACCCTGGGAGAAGCAGCAACTGGTGAAAAGACACAAGACAAATATTCATTGGAAGTTGGGAGGAAAGAGAACAGGAAAATGACCCAGAGAGTCTATGCAGCAAGTTGTGAGAGAGAAGCGAAGCTAGCGATGCTGTGCGTGGTGGTTCCACACCAGAAAAGGCAGTCTTAAAGGTGGCCCACAGGCCAGGGACACAGCTCAGTGGCACAGTGCCTGCCTGGCAAGCACAAGGTCCTGAGTTCCACTCCCGGTACAAATAATAATAATAGCAATTGTACTACCAATAGTAAGATAAATGGCGCACAGGGAAGGTGCCTGAGGCAGCACCCTGCTGTGCTGCTTCCCTCTCTCCGTTTCCTTTGTGGGACGCCCCTCTGCTGCCCTTTGCTTCCTCCTCTGTTGTGTGCATTGAGCTGTCGGGTAATGCTGCTTTGGATGGATGGACGTCCTAGATCCTGGGGGCAACAGCTTTGCTGGATTAACGTGAAATAAGTAGTGCTGTTTTCCCCTATGGAGAAAAACGTGTCTTATTCTTTATTTGTGAATCTGTAAAATAAAAAGATAGGGAACAAAGACCACTGTGTCCACCCCACTGTGAATGATCTCAGAAGAGCTGCCTAGCCCTAAGCTTGCTGCCCCAAAGCCTGCGCTCAAGAGTTTCCCAGGTCAGCTAGCACTTCAGTGCATGGCATGGTTTGCTCCACATAGTACAGTCAGCTCAGCTACTTCATGAGTTATTTTCCTTTTCAAAGTTCATCCTCCAGGTTCCACGAACCAGTTGCGCCGCTGGAGCTCCCCTCCAGGTTCATTTCAAAGGAGGATCCTTGCACGGTCCAGGCGTGCACTGCCTCTTGGCTGTGGACAGCAGAGATTAACAATGGGGCTTTGCAGTTACCACTGCGGTCAGCCCGCAAAGTGGGCTCAAGCCCCAGTCCTGCTCCTTTGCTGCTGTGATCCTGGTCCTGGCTTCCTGTGGAGCAAGTGCACTGCCGGGTGGGGGCTGGGGACTGGAGAAGGCCACATGGAGCTGTCGGAGCAGCAAGCACCCAGGGCCCTTCCCAGGGTTGGCCCTTTCCCAGACAGGGAGCCAGAGTGAGCGACGGACCCACTATGAGTGCCTCATGGAGGGATGCTGCTTGGGAACGACAATGTGCACCTCATTGTCAGTGTCCCTCTGTAACCCTCAGGTTCCTACCGATCCACTTTCAGAACACCTATAACTATGAAACTTAACAAAATGTTTTCAGATTCTTGTTGCTTTAAGTTTTTCAGGTGCCATATATGAATTTCCTGCAAAATTTTTAAAATCTTAATCTTTGGCACAGATAGGTTAATTCACACAGAATTCACTCTAAAATTGCTCACAAGGTAGACAGTATGGAATCTTATATGAGGAGGGCATCTTGGAAGGTGCCAAGATTTTGTCCACAGCTGGAGCAGAAAGCTTTCATTTCTTCCCAAGATAGTGGCCACCAGCACTAGGGCTAATCAGGATAAATACTGGGCAATTCAAATGGTGGCAGAATGCTTCAAGTCCTTTTCTTAGAATACAAGGAAAGCTTCAGTTCCTCCCTCTTCTTAGCTTAGTAGAAACGAACTAAGCAAGAAAAGCAAGCAGAATGTCCCCATCCTGGCGCGACTCCTCTCTTGCAGAACATTCACCTCCAAGGCCCCCCAGACGCAATTCTGGGCCGTCCCAGCACCTAACTTGTTAACCGCGAAGGAATACTCCCTGTGCCCAGGTGAAGGCCACAGGACCCGCTCGGATACTGGCGAGGACTGCAGAGGGAGGGGCTCTTCGTCCCGTGGGGTTAGGGCCTGCTGTGTGACCGAGGGCTCCCGCCAGGCCCTGAGCGTGCTGTGCTGGGTGTTAGGACTGCAGAGCTAGAGCCACACTTGACAGGCGTGGGGGCACGGCCAGTGGGCACAGCGCTGCCATGGACACTGCTCTGCTGCCACCTTTTCCGCCCTGATGGGTCACTGGGGGGCCTCAGCAGGAGCCCACAGGCCATGAGACCCTGGGCACTCGCAGCAGTGCTGGGACGCAGCCTCATGGAGTGGGCTGGCTGAGGCCTTGAAACCCCGGCTGGCAAGCAGGGCCGTAGCTGCCTCCCGACCTCTGCCTCCCAGTGGGATTGACCCTTCTGTGCACGTGGCACGTGGCTCATCACAAAGAACAGGCTGAAGTTCCATTTTATTTTTGCCATGAAACATCTGAGTTGAGTTTTAATGAACTATGCCTTTAAGGGACATAAAGGCATCCCTGTAGAAAAATATCACACAGTCTGGAGGTCATTTCAAGGTACATTTATAAAAATACCCTCTGCAGTGTGTGAGGACCGGGGCAGTTGTTCCAGGGACACTTTTTCTTCCTCGCTTGGCCAAGAAGTTGAACGTAGAGTTGGGGCAAAGGCAGGGCCTCCCCACCCCAATGCTACCATTGGCGGCTGGGTCGCAGCAGGCTGCTGCTGCAGGGAGAGGAAGGGAATGCAGGCTGCAGGCCGACGTCCCTGGCTCTGCTCCTCTCCTGACTTCCGTGGCCGCTGTCCTCCTGTGCAGATGCGCAGCCTTGTCCCTGCGGCACCGAGGCAGAACGTGGCTTCTTCCTCCCTTGACTTCACCAGGCATTTCATCTTAGCCCCAGAGAGCCACAGCAGAGGAGGGCAGAGAGCAGGGCAGCGCTCAGAGGGCTGCCGGGGAGCCCTTGGTGAGGCCTGGCTTCTCATTGGCCGCAAACAAGACCTGCGCTGCTGCCTGTGTGACCCCATGGGCTCCTTGAGGTGGCTTGAGCGAGTCAGCAGAAAATGGCTGTGCTTAAGGGTGAGCACCAGTAGCCCGTGATGAGGGGGCTGAGGGACATGTGACACTTTCTATCAGAAGGCCTCCATGGAGAAGGAACTGGTACTCATGGGGGCAGAAGGAGGGTTGTAAGGGCAGGGGCATCCTCAGGGAAGGAGGACTGGGGTGTGACTGGGGGCCCCAAGGCCTCTGGAGAGAAGGTGGCAGAAGATGACAGTGGGAAGGAGGGAGAAAACCAGGTCAAATGGGTAGGAGAAAGTGGAAAAGGAAAATTTTCATAGCAGGAGAAAGGGGTACTGTAGAACTCAATGAACAAAAAGTATTTTGTCTAATTCTATTCCCACTCATTTTATACTTACTGTGTATGAATGTAGGTGTATATGTATGTGTGCATATACACACATGTGTAGTGCGAATACACATATACACAGGTGTGTCCGTGTGTACGTAAGTATTTTCTGTGGTGCTGGGGTTGAGCCCAGGGCCTTCACACTCAGTCTTGCCTCAGCCCTTTGTTCATTTTTTATTTTGAACAAGGTCTTTCTGAGTTCCCAAGTTGCCTGCCTGCCTGCCTACCTGCCTGCCTGGTTGGCTGTCTCTCCTGAATGCCTGTGTACTCTCTGGCCTGCTGCCTTCTGAGCCAAGACATCACTTGGGATGTTGCAGCATTCCACAAGTAGGATGTAGGTGGTCCCAGTGATGCCCTCCGGTCTAGCCATCATTCCGTTTATTTTAATGACACCAGTATCATGAATTTTTCTCGTATTTTTACCTGTTTGGCAGGAATCATTGCTGAAGGTAGAGTTTGGAAATACAAAAACCTAACATGTTTTAGGCATCAGCGCGGCATGGGAGCCTGAGTGACACTTGGCAGTCACAGGTCACCCCAAGGTCACACAGCAGGCACTACTGTGGGCTCCAGAGCGTCGCGGAAGAGTTTCCATATAGGGAAACCGACCCCTAACTCCAGCAGGCAATTGTGCTGTGCGACATTAGGCAGTCGCATTTGTGAAAGCTGCCCTGAATGTCGCCTGCAGTGTGAAACAAAGCCTCCCTTTCAGAACTCTGTGACTTCCCTGAGCGTAGAAGGAGCACAGGAAGAGACACCGGGCGCGCATCCCAGTGACCCAGGCCCAGGAGAGCAGGCCAGCCCGCGGCGGCTGAGGCGGAAGCATTCGGCGGTGCAGGCGCGCGCAGCTGCGGGGCGCGCTCAGCTGAGCTGGGCGAGGTGCAGCGCGGAGCCCGTAACTGCCGCTCAGGTGAATGCGGCTGCTGCTGTCCGCTGCTGCCTGCACCCTCTCTGCAAACACCGCCGAAGACACGGCCGCAGTGCCGCGCGTCCTGCAGCAGCGCGGCTCAGCAGCGACTGGCGCCTGGCTCTGGGGCCTCCCGCGTCTCCAGAGGACCCAGACCTGCGGCCTGCAGGCCTGCCGCCCCGAGGAGGTGTGGCAGTCGGGGTTCTCCGCACGCCTCCGGGCCCTGGGAGCCCGCCCGGGCCAGGGCCGATGGAGCACCTGCCTGGCTGCCAACGACTGCTCGCATGAAACCAACAAGGTCATTTTTATTATTGTGAAGTGGACTAAAAATATAAAGGCTTGACTTCTGCCATAACAGAGCTGGAAATAAATGGCCTGGAGACAGGCTTTCTGAAATATTTTCCAACTCCTCGATCATTATCTGACTCTTACCCACGCTTACTGCTCCTTTTCTGGTTTGTCTCTCCCTCTGTCTCTCCCTTCCTCTCTGTCTCTGTCTCTGTCTCTCTCTTTCTCTCTGTCTCTGTCTCTCTCTCTCCATCTCTCTCTCTGTCTCTGTCTCTTTCTTTCACTCTGGCTCTCTCTCTCTAGCTCTGGCTCTGGCTCTCTCTCTCTCTCTCTCTCTCTCTCTCTCTCTTTCTCTGTCTCTCCCTTTCTCTCTCTGTCTCTGTCTCTCTCTGTCTCTGTCTCTCTGTCTCGCTCTCTGTCTCACTCTGTATCTCTCTGTCTGTCTCTCTTTCTCTCTGGTTCTCTCTCTCTCTTTCTCTAGCTCTGGCTCTGGCTCTCCCTCTCTCCCTCCCTCCCTCCTTCTCTCCCTTTCTCTTTCTGTCTCTCTCTCTGTGTCTCTTTCTCTGTTTTTGTTAGGAAAAAGGTGGTCTTCCTGTTTCTGGTAAAATACTGTAGTATTTCTAAGGCCTGCAGTGGACCGTCAGCTTGTAGCTCCCAGCTGCACCGTGTCAGCATGGTGCTGGGTGTGGATGGCCCACTGAGGGAAGATGCTGTGCCGCTGATTCTCCTGGAGAAGCTTGTCATGCTGGTTACATGCTATGAAGTCTGCATCGTGAGCGGAGCTTGGGGCCTCACTGTCACTGAGGGTGGCTCTTCAGGGGAGCGCTGGTCCTCAGCTTGAGCATCACTTCCTGGCTCCAGGGCAGGTCCCTCAGCCTGCTGCACAGGTCCTTCATCCCACTGGTGCGACTTCTGGCTTCCCCCACTGGCCTTTGGGCCTTCCCAGGGCAGATCCTTGATACAGACTTGATGAGACGTTGCGGTGGGCTCCGGGCCGCCAGCTGGACTCATGGGGGACACTGCATGGATCCGGGCCCTCAGCTGGATTCTTAGGGTCTCTAGTGTGTGGTCAGATTTCCTACACTCTTTCACATTTGAGTCTTTTGGTGAATATTATAAAATAATCCTATAAGCCAGGTGTCCTGTATTAGATCTTTCCCCCTATAAACTCTGATTATAAGACCCCCACCATGAAAACACTGAAGGGGGTGTAGCCCACATCAGTGCAGTGACATGGCTTTCTCTGGAACCTGGAATTCCGACCCCCTACTGCCCACCCTTCCACAGAGAGTCTACCCCAAACCCATGCTCGCCTAGTACAGCCCCTGGGAGCACCTTGTTAGCAAGTGGTTTCTCTCTCCATATCAGAAAGCCAAAGCATCATCAGGATTTCATACCTGGAAGGTGACTCATTTCCTAAGAACTGAGGTGCTAAGGAGAAAAGTAGCAGCCACCAGGTACGTGATTTGTGTGCCTGACATGGCACCGGTGCCAGGCACACCCCAGGTGCAGTCCTGGGGTGGTTGCTGAGGCCTCACTTGGGCTTGCACGGCCTTTTCCTGTGCTACTGTAATTTGTGCAGCCAATCACGTCTAAGGCCAAGAAGGTTCTTTCATAGGCCAGCACCTCCCCCTGGGTAATTTCACACATGAGTACAGTACCGGAGAGCTAAAATGGATTTTGCCATTACCTTTTATATGACAGTCACTTTGATTTGGCTTGAAAAATTGATTGAAATCCGCATTCATGCAGATTTCTATTTTGTGCAGTCCAAAAGAAATAAAAAAGGTCTTAACAGCTGAGTCAAGGGCTCAGTAGTTGGGTATTTCATAGAAGCAGGATCAGTCACATCCATATGATTCCCGGGCTCACTGTGTCCCTGTCCCATCACTGGTCAGGAGGGGGTGACATTCATATGGAGCAGCCCGAGCTATGGCCACCAGTCCTGTGGACTCTACTGCCTGAGGCACAGAGAAAGGCACACCTGGGCTGGGGCCACCGTGCAGGAGACAGCGGTGAGAAGCAGCAAAGGGGCTGTGGTTTGGTTCATAGAGCTGAAATGCTACCGCTCAGACAGCCCGGAGCCCAATGCTGAATGGCGGAGTTCAGTGTGCGAATAGTGGGACCTGCTGACCCGCTTGCAAGTTTCAGTTCCACAGGGATGTGTGGCTCCCTCAAGACAGGCTGTCCCACAGCACAGCAAGTCAGGTCTGCCACCAAGGCTGTCAGCCTGCCTGCTCCTGAGTCAACAGCAAAGAAATGAGTGATGCGTCAAGGCCAGCACAGCCAGTGGGGTCCTGAGAGAAGGTGACAGAGACTAAGAAAGACCTGGATACATCAGAAAGCAAAGCTGGGGCCAGATGGGACCTGACTGCTCTGATGGAGAGGCAGTGACAGCCCAGCTTGGTCTGCATCTTTATTTATATAGTAAAAGGGGGAAAACATGTGAGGGGCCAGAAGGGCAAGGTCTCGTTGTTTTGCTGAACACATGGAACACAGAGCATGCCCAGAGCTTTCTGTGCTACCATTAACAGAACACCAAGGCCAGACACCTGCTGGTGCTTCTGAGCTGGAGGCCAGTGTGTTCACACGGTCTGCCTCTGGTGCTGTGTGTGGCCCCGGGACCGGGCATGCTCCAGCCCGGAATGTGTGGTCAATCTCCTGCTCAGCCTCAGCTCAGCTGCTCCCCACGGTGATGATCTGGTTGGGGTGATCTATTCAGATTCAGTGGGTGCAGGCTGATGCACAGGACAAGGGGACAGGCATGTCTGGAAGGAGGAGAGCCCTTAGCCTGGGAGGCCCTGAGGTAAGTTTGGCACAGTGCTACTTACTGCCCAGTCCAGGCAGCACGCATGGCTCCAGCCCTTCAGCTTCTTGGTTTTGTGAATAAAATTTTACTGGAATAGTGCTTGCTTCAGCAGCAAATATATTAAAACTGAAATGATACAGAGAAAATTAGCATGGTCCATGCACAAGGATGACATGCAAATTTATGAAGCGTTCCATATGTTTCAAATAAATGATCTTATGCTGCACCTTAAGCTCCTGGGAAAAGAAGAGCAAGTTGAGCCTAAAACCCAAAGAAGATAGGAAATTGTAAAGATTAGAGCAGAAATTAATGCAATGGAGATGAAGAAAACAATACAAAGAATAAATGAATCAAAGAGTTGGTTCTTTGAAAGAATAAATAAAATTGATAAACCTCTAGCCAACCTAATCAAAAAAAGAAAAAAACCCCAAATTCATGCAATAAGGAATGAAAAATGTGAAATCACTATCGACCCTATAGAAATTGAGAAGCTCATCAAGGCCTACTTCCAAAATCTTTACTCTCACAGAATGGAAAATGCAGAGGAAGTAGACAGCTTCCTAGATACATTTAAATGCCAAAGCTGAAAAAGAAGATATACAAACTCTGAACAACCCAGTAATAGGAAGCAAAATTGAAAACGTAATAAATAACCCTCCCAACAAAGAAGAGCCCAAGTCCTGATGGATTCACAGATGAATTTTACAAGAATTTTAGAGAAGATTTAATGCCAACTTTTCACAGACTCTTCAATGAAATTGAAAGGAAAGCAGTTCTCCCAAACTCATCCCTGGAGGCAGGTGTTATTCTGATAACAAAACCAGAAAAAGATCTAAGTAAAAAAGAGAATGACTGGCCAATCTCCCTAATAAGCATAAATGCAAAAATGCTCACTAAAAATACTATCGAACAGAATGCAGCAAATAGTCAAGATCATGCGTCATCACCAAGTAGGATTCATCCCAGGAATGCAATGATGCTTCAGCATATGCAAATCCATACATGTAATACACCACATCACCAGAGCCAAACACAAAGGCCAAATGATCATCTCCACAGATGCAGCTAAAGCTTTTGAGAAAGTCCAACACTCATTCATGATAAAAACCCCACAGAAAATTGGAATAGATGGTCTATATCTTAACCTGAGAAAAGCCACTTATGAGAAACCAACAGCCAACATCATACTAAATAGACAAAAACTGAAAGCCTTCACTTTAAAATCAGGAACAAGACAAAGATGTCTACTGTCTCCATTCCCATTCTGGAATTGTTAGCCAAAGCAATTAGACAAAGAGGGAAATAAGAGGAACACTAATTGGAAGGGAAAAAGTAAAATTATCATTATTTTCAGATGACATGATATTCTACAAAGAAGACCTTAAAAACTCCACCAACAGACTTGTGGACTTAATAACCAAACTGAGGAATGTAGCAAGATACAAAGTCAACACTCAAAAATCATTAGCATTTTTGTACACAAACAATGAATGCACTGAGAGAGAAATCAGGGAGATCATGCCTTTCATAGTAACCTCCAAAAAAATGAAATACTTAGGAATCAGTTTCACAAAAAAGTAAAAGATTTATACAGTGAAAATTATAATACGCTAATAAAAGGGTTTGAAGAGGATTTCAGAAAATGGAAAGGAAGGTTCCTATTCCTCCTGGATAGGAAGAACCAACATTGTGAAAGTGGCTATACTCTCAAAATTGTTATACAGATTCAATTCAATCCTGATTAAAATACCATTAGTATACCTCACAGAGCTAGAGAAAGCATTCCAAAAATTTATCTGGAACCAGAAGAGACCCAGAATATCAAAAGAAATCATGGACAACAAAGGAAAGGCAGGAGGCATCACAATCCCTGACCTGAAATTATACTTTATTTTTTATTATTATTTTAGGACAGGGTCTACAGGGCCTACAGGGTCTCACTGTGTAGATCAGATTCATAGTGATCCTCCTGTTTATAGCCTCCCCGGTCCTGGGATTACAGGCACATGCCACCATGCCCAGTCTCAATTGCCCTCTCAGCGTACCCTGGTTGTGGGTGGGGTGGCACAGCAGGCCCAGGGATCAAACTCTTGGCCTCTGTGTCTGCCTAAGCAGGCATTTTAACCTGCTGCACTATTTGACTGGCCCTGAAATTATACTACAAAGCTACAATGATAAAATCAGCATGGCGCTGGCTAAAGACAGACCTGAGGATCAATGGAACGGTTTAGAAGATGCAGACACAACTAGAAATACACTCAGCCACCTTATGCTTGACAAAGGGGCCAAACATGTTCACTGGGAGAAATAGACCCTCTTTGATAAATGGTGCTGAAAAGCCTGGCTTTCTACATGCTGAAGGCTAAAATGAGACCCATGTCTAGCACCATGCACTCAACTATGGTCAAAATGGATCAAAGATTTAAAGATCAAACCAGAAGTGCTGAACCTCCTGGAAGCAAGTGTAGGTAAAAATCTTAAAGATACAGGGATAGGTTGAGTTCATGAACAAAAAACAAATTGCACAGCAAATACTTCAAGAGTCAACAGTCGGGATCTCATCTTTTTGAAGTCTTTGCATGTCAAAACAAATTACCAGCAGAATAAAAAGAAAACACATGAACTGGGAAGAAATTATAGCCAACTGTCCCTTTGACAAAGGCTTTCTACCAAGAATACATAAAGATTTTTAAAAAGTCGGGCCCTAAAATTCAAAGAGCCAACCCAAAAATGGGTGTCTGAGATAAATACACACTTCTCAAATGAAGAAATACAAATGGCAAGTAAATATATGAAAAAATGTTCGACATCATTGGTCATTTGAGAAATGCAAATTAAAATACTGAGATTCCATCTCACTCCAGAAAGAATGGCTAATATCAAAAAGTCAGCCAGTAACAAACGCTGGAGGAGCTGTGGGGAGAAAAGGGACTCTTCTCCACTGTTAGTGGGAGTGCAGACTGGTCCAACCACTATGGAAATCACTGTGGGGATTCCTCAAAAAGCTAGGATTGGAGGTCCCATTCAACCCAGCTATTCCCCTCCTGGGTATTTTTCCAGAAGAACTGAGAACATCATACCACAGTGATATATGTGCTCCCATGTTTATAGCAGTGCAATTTGTCACAGCTAAATCTTGGAAGCAACCAAAATGCTCATCAACTGAGAAATGGATAAAGATGTGGCATTTTTATGCAGTGGAGTACTATTCAACTATAAAACAGGTTAAATTTGAGACTTTTATCAGTAAATGGGTGCAACTAGAGACCATACTCTTAAGTGAAATAAACCCACAAACATTGTATTATCTCCCTAGTATGAGAACATGAAAGAGAAAATAAAATCTGAAGGGTATAGTAGACACGGGGAAAAGAGAATGAACCTGTTCAAAAGGAAGGAATTACTGAGTTGAGGAGGACAGAAGAGGGAGTGGAGCAAAGAGTTATATCTATGTATGGAAGCAGGATGGTTTGGACAACTGTACTGTGGATTTCTGCTGGTCTATGGAAAGGAGCAGTTAATGCTTAATTTGTTTTGTCTTCTTCTTTCAATTGTTTTTCTTTTTGTCTCTTCTTACTTTCTTATTCTTTTTCTTTCTTCTTATAATTTTGCAGGCATATATCTGAACAACTAATTTGAAGACAACACTATGCAATACAACAGTGTGAAACTCATATTATTTTGTTTAGTGAAATTCTATATCATCTGCAATTTTTCTGTTTCATACTATTTTATACTCTCTTTGAAAAATAAAAATAAAAAAATTTACTGGAGTGCACTGAGATCTATGGCTTAGCTGAGGAGCTGTGAAGACACTGCACGGCCTGCGAAATATTTACACTGTCGCCCTCCAGGGAAGTCTGCCGCAACTTGTAGTTGCAGATTCTATATGTCCCTGACCTGGTGAGCGGCCACAGAAGGTGTGGTGTGTGCACAGTGAGACAGCTTTCTGTCATGGGGTGGCAGGCTTGAGGCATCGTAGGCAGATGCAGGCAGCATGAGGCCATTTCCTACTCTCCTTGGCTTGAGCAGGAAGCAACCGACACATAAGCTTAAACACTGCATTCCTTCTCTTGCAGGAGGAACTGAAAGAATAGATAAGAAGCAAAATAAAAGATAGGTAACGGAGTGGGGAGACAGAGCTCTGGTAAACAGAGAGAGGCTCTGGGGCGGGGAACACAAACATTGAGTCCTGCTGTGTCGATGGACCAGCTGTCCAAGGCCAGTGTGCCAGTTTGCATGGCAGACGCAAGCTGACACACAAGTACAAGAAAAGCTTGCTGACCTCTGGCCTGGAGACGTGCAAGCGCAGCATGTGACCATGACTCAGTTACCCGTCTTCCTGAGGGGTGGCTTGTGAATCATGCATCTCGGCGTTAAGTATGACCGTGTTGTATTCGTAAATCCCTCAGCAAGTTTCCAACCTTTAACCTGACTCTGTTCTCTGGTCCTCTCGTGATGCTGCACACCGTCACCCCGCTCTTGATTTCCTACTCTACTCGGTGCCCCTGAATGCTCCTGCCACAGCCCCTCCACTGCACTAGAGAACAAATCCAAACCAGGCCCACTACTGTGAGGGCTACATGTTTTGTTTTTCAGCTGGTTTCTTCCACTTGCTGTGGAAAGTCTAAAATGGTAAGTGAAGTCAATCAGACAGACAAGCTTCAACAGTAAGTGGCTTCTTTACATGAGAAAAGAAGTATAAACAAAGAGTAACTACAGAGACACGAGGGAAAGGGGACCTGGGCAGCTTCCTGAGAAACTGAGGGAAAACAGCCTCCCCTCCGGCCAGCAGCCAGCCATAGCCACCCTGGCCCGGGCGGCACAACGTGAACCTCCACGGAGGCTGTGCAGAGCTCACACACTCGCTGCTCTGTGCCTCGGCATTGTGCGAGGTGCACTGGGCCTCAGGGGTGCCAGCTACCAATGATCGGCTCACCAAATAGTGTAAAATGTACTGGAGATGACCCCAGTGGCGGGCACGCGCTACTGAGTGCTGTGGCCCTGGCCTTCTGGGACGCTGGGACAGAAGAGCTCAAGTCGAGCCCAGCCTGGGAAGCACAACCAGACAAACCACCCCTTCCACACACACCATCCATCTATACGGGGCGACTCAGTGCAGAGGCCTGGGGCTCACCCCGCAGGGCCGCAGCAAAAGTGAATCAAAGACAACCATTAAAGACCAAGCATTAATTTTTAAATA